ACGTTGACGTTGTCGTAAGTGACCCACTTTTCATCTCCAATCACCATCCGCTGCAGAAATGGGTCGATTTTGTTGCGATTCAGCAGCGATTCGCAGATGGAAATTCGGTCCATGAGGTTTTTTTGCGTTAACTCGTGTGGCACCCATACATCGAGCTTCTTTTTGTATCCAGCCTTATTCAAGTGGTTCCAAACGGTTTTTTGTGCAATGTTTAGCTCCTGGGCAATCGAAACAGTGCTTACATAACGGTCGGACTCGACGATTTCCATTATTTTATCGACATTTTCGACAATTGGCCTTCCAGAGCGTGGTGCATCTTTGACATCAAAATTACCGGAACGGAATCGACGAAACCAAAATTGCGCGTGATTGGCTGTTACAGTATCAGGACCATAAACACTATTCACATTTTCAGCCGCCTGGCTTGCGTTTTCGCCTTTATCGAAGAAAAACTGTAGAATATCGCGTATTTTCTCTTTACTGGTGTCCATCTTTGACGCGCGCTCAAACAATACTGAGTCAAACAATCACAAAACTGTCTGAGAAGTTTTTTTAGTACGAAATCTTATCTTTCTAACGCCATCTAGCGTAAACCGATCGCACTTATACAATGCGAGATACACATTACTAAAGCCATCTATTGAAAAAATAATGGATTTCTTTTTAATACACCTTATATATTCTGTGCCACGGGAACACCGGCGCCATCTAATAACCGGCTGTACTATTACCTGCGAATGTTTCTAACAGTACGATCGTCTTTCTATAACGATAAGAATTCACTGATAATATGACTCCGTAAAGGCCATCACACACAAAATTCCGTAAGAACTTAAATCGTAAGCGTAAGGAAATCGACCAATCCCAATCGAGTATTCGGCTCTTCGTAATAATGGAGGGGTTACGAAGAGCCGAGTGCTCGATTGGGATTGGTCGATTTCTTTACACTTACGTTTTAAGTTCTTACGGAATTTTGTATGTGATGGCCTTAATCGCGCATAATGGCTGCGTTCGTTTTGGCGCTTACAACTTTTTGGCTTTGATGCTCTGAGCATCATTTCATTATCAAACACTAAACAAAGACAAATGATGCTTACACACGCTATAAACGCCAAAACGAACGCAGCCAATATGATAGAAAGTTGTGGTTTGTTCTTTTCAGCTGCCACATTGGTGCAATAAGTTATAGTGAATTCGGTAGCTTGCACTAGTGCGCACCAGATTTGGGCACGTATTATACTGAGATATTATACATTGTATTATATACTGTATTATACAATATAATTTAGTTTTATACATATTATACTTTCTGTGACGCCATCTCTTCCGGTATTCACAGCCAGTATTGAAAATCTATAGTTTATGTCACGTATACTATAGATTTTCAGTATTTGCAATGAATATCAGAATGCAGACTTTATAGGGGATTTGCTAGCGTCATTACTATTATTTTAAGTTCCATATTTTAAACTCTCTTTTAATTGGCCAATCAAGGCAAAAAAAACTAAGATTTATTTATTATGATTGGTTTATTTAAGTAAAGCCAGCGACACACGCTTGTTTTCATGCTGGATTGCTTGCTGGATGGAAATACTCTGTTCTGATTGGTGCATTTCTGAAGACGGACCAATCAGAATAGAATATTTCCATCCAGCAAGCAACCCTAAATATTACACTTTTATGCGCTTTTATACGTATTATACGTATTATACATATTATACGTATTATACATATTTTATAGTATAATGTAAAAAACCCTAGAAAATACTCGAAAAACCCAACCCTCTGTTTTCTATTGCTGAACTAGTGTACACTTTCAGAACTTAAAAAGAGACAGGTATACAAATAAAACTTGGTGGAAGAAAGATGAGAGAAAACTAGTGCAGTCAGTTCAGCAATAGAAAACAGACCCATATTTATATAATAGGGCTCAAAGTAATGGCAGCTCATTTTACTCGTCCTACGTACTACCTTGACGAAATTATCTCGCATGCGTGTTCAACATTCCATTATTTTTCTTCGTTGCTTGCACTTTTGCACCTATTGCCCGTTAAGCCCGTATCAGGGGGAGCTTTCCAATCGCAATATCCTTAGACACTTTCATACACACGGCGACACGAGTTGCATTCCAATTGTCGTAATCGTCGACGCAACACTACACATCCATACTCAGCTCGAGGGCTACTAGTCAGCTGTATAAACTAGTGTTTTCTAGTGACAATTAAAGTTAATAAGCATAGCGGCTTGAAAAGAGACTGGCATTTGCGACGTGAAGTGGATAATATCTTTTTTATTATTTAGATTTTATTATTTATTATTAAAAAATACCAAAATATAAGCACAGTAGAAAAATAATCCTAACCCTACCCGACATACATACACATTAGTACACACTTTGTTCCAATTGAATCGTGGATAACGTTACACTTTGTACATTTCTGTGTACATATGTGTCAAGATGTGTTAAACAATTGGAAAGTACCCTGTGTATCTCGAAACGGAGTGAAAATTACAAAAGTGAGAAAATTCACTAGACATTGACTAATGAAGTTACAAATATTCTAGTAAATTTGCTCACTTTTGTCAATTTCATTTCGTTTTGAAATATACAATCGACCCACAGACTATAGATTGAGATTGAATTGAAATTTAGCCAATCAGAGCAAAATTCACTAAGCTCAAGTTTGGTGAACTTTGCTCTGATTGACCAATTTTCAATTCAGTCTCATAGCGTGTTCGACTGGCCCTGGATTAATCGCTCCGAGAGCGATTAATGACGTCATAAGTTTCTACTAGCCAATCATAAAGCTTATAAGTACTTGTTCGGCCTATAAACGTAGGCTGAATAACCCAGAGTGGATTAACCCAGAGCCAATCGAACATTGCTATTAAATAATAGAAAAAAGCATATCGATACGTATCGATGCCAGAGGCATACCGATACGTATTAATAATCGTATCGATATTTTCGAACACTGCTGCATGTAATTTCACTACAATATTGGCGTAAAGGCCAAATCATACTAGCGATTGACGATTGACGATTGACAATTAAAGATTAGGTTTTAACGAATCAACAAGCTTCAGCTTTGGCTTGCTTTGTTCCAATCTGAAACAAGTCTTTGGTCAAGTTCTAATCTTCAATCGTCAATCATCTATCGCCAATCGTTAGTGTGATTTGGCCTTAAGGGCAATAGGTCTTTAAACGACGCCCAAAGCCATCTATTGAGAGAGAGAGAGAGAGAGAGAGAGAGAGAGAGAGAGAGAGAGAGAGAG